CATTAAAAATAATAAAGCATAAGTACTTTTTTGAGCAAAACTTCCTTAAAGAAAAAGTGCTGCAAAGCACCATAACCCATAGAAAGTCCATAAACCCTTAACCCTTTCAAACACACTCGGCTTTATTTTGGCCACAAATAAGTGCGTAAGTGTTGTCGTGAATGTGAACGTTAGTACTTAAAATGCGAGCGAGCGAACGTTATTACCGATTGCACCCGCCCTCTTGGCTATACTTACTGACTTCATTGGGCTTATAAAACGGCTGACCAGTATCGTTTCGGCGACGCGCTGCCGGCGAATATAACGCCGATGTGGAGGCAGACCTCTCGAATGCTGTAGAGGGTGTGAGAAAATGTGGTTAGAGATGGGTAAATTTGTTAAAATCCGCCTGACAATATGTAGTTGCAACGCAAATAATTTCAAATAATTGTACGAGTACACTTTACGACAAGACGAGACGATTCCCAACCCACATGAATTGAGAGAGAAAAAAAAACATTAAAATGTATTTTACACAAAAAGTCGCCGCTTAACACTTTCGCACATGCAACCGAGTATGAATAATACACAAAATGATTCTATGACTGTGACGAGTTTTGTAAGCGCAATTCGCATTTTTCAATGAACTAAATAAAATAAAGATTTACCACGAACACAACATAGAAATTACATGTATGTATGCACATCTAACTGATTAAAAAACAAAAAAAAACAACAACATTTTTTTTTAACCACCCATACTTTTGATTTTATCCGCAACACTCTGACTACGTCCTGTGCCCACGTGATTGAGCAATGACGACTCAGACGGTATGGAGTCACAATAGTTGGTGCTGCCTGCCGAGCCGATCGTTGTGGTTGGCGTACTGAGATTCGTATAGCTGTAGGCAGAACGTGGCGAAGGTGCTGCATAGGAGCTGTCCGCATCGGTGGTCGCTGCGCCGCTATTGTTGTGACACCAAGGTGGCGGCACGGCTGGTGTACCGCTTGTACTCTGCTCGGGCAGAATGTAACGGCGTGGCAGTGTTGGGGATTCGAAACGTACAGGACGAAATTCTTTGCGACCGCTACTCGGTGATGGCTGAGGCGTCCAGACGGGTTGTGCACCTTGTTGTTGTGCTGGTGCTGGTGCTGGTCGTGGTGGTGGTGGGGGCGTAGGCGTACTGACCTTCGGATGTATGTCGTTCAAGTTGGTGAGCGATGTGTTGTTGGGTGTTTGTGTGCCAGGTGTCCAGATGCCTAAATGTGCAGGTGCACGAGCGGATTGGAATAGATGTACGGAGGGGGAGGAGTGAAGAGAAAGTGATAGATCAAAAATGCAAATAATTCGTAATTTTACAAATTAATGAATGTATGAATGAGTGCTGTTGATGGTGATGACATGAATGAACGCGCTGACGATCAACGTTGACACGACAAAAACGACACAGAAGAGGTAACAAACGAATTTTTTTATGGATACAAAATATGGAAGGAGCAGAAACTAAATTCTGTTTCAAAATACACAATACATCCTCACAAACTGTGGCTTCGAAAACATCAAAGATGGCAATTTAAGCAATACAGTTCACAAAGTTGAAAAATCGGGAGACACAAAAGGAATCTAAACGTCTGATTTATAAACCGGGTGTCCTACGTAACTTTTGAATATATAGTAAAAGCATGTGTATATATCCTATCAATAGGAATGGACTCCCGCTCGAAACCGGGAGTCGATAGTACGACCAAACGATAGAGAACCCCCAACTTAGTAATATGTTCTTTGCGCTTTCCAATAACAATATTTCCTGAATTTTAGAAGGGCTAAATGGGTGGTCCAGGACACCCCATATAACAGCTCAGAAGTCCACAGCAAATCAGAACATTTCACACTGTCTTGTTCCTATCCAGGTCCATAGTTTTTTATGTAGCTCAGTTTCAATGCACTGCTTTTCCAGATAGCTTAGAATACAGAGAAGGGCAATGTCAAAGAAGGAGCTGTATACTCTCAGACTCTCCTGATAGAATGTTGTTGTTGGATTGACGAACCCTAGGAGCTTTCTTTATATAGGCAAACAGCATAGGATGTGGGAAGCAGTAGTTTATCGTTAAGTATTGCCCAAATTGAGCCTAAGCTAAGAAAGCTTTATTTGGGGCGCTTTGTTTTTCAATGAAAATACTTTTCTCTTTAATCTTGGACCCTTCCAGAAGTATGTAGTTTTTATTTTAACTAGAATTTCCAATGAAAAGCAATTGTGAGTTCTTAAATGGTCTCCTTCCAGAAAGTTAAAATAGCTTTCCATAAAGTGTTCTGGTGATACTTCTATTGAAAAATTAAATATGTGCATATCTAGATTTTTATAAGGATTACCTTCTTTGCCCTGCAATTGATATCGTCCGCGCATGTTTTTCAAGAAAGGTAATAATTGTAGTAGCGAATTCCGCCAAGAGATTTAGTTTCTTTTTCTGGGACAAAGCTGGGATTTGGAAAAATCTCTACCGATGTCCATTTGTTTATTGGCATAGGATTACTAATCTTTATTACCTTTGTTGCTAAAATCTCTGAATTTTTTCTTGGTGAATTCCAAGATCTATATCTGGCCAAGAACTGTCACTCCAGCTGATTTCTAAAGGACGATCGGGAGTTTTTATTTCGTTAAAACAACAACAAAAGTCAAGATGGAACAATACGATAATTGCTACTTCATGAGTATTAGGACAAAATAGGCGTTCGGCACAATCTTCACTGTGGTGGTTATAGGCACAACCTGGCTCAACATGAACAAACGTGCTTTTCGAGACATCCAAGTACACCATAAGGAGCGCAAACCAGATGCACGAAAAGTGCACATGACATGAAGATAAGAGCAGATCAGAGGATATTAAATGCCTTAAGAGAAAGTGTATGGCGTATCCATCATAACTAGGGACCTTAACAAAATGGTAAGGCGACAGTGAAATAATCAACCCAAGTACTGAAAAATTGCCTGTCTTTGCTTGGTCGTATTTCAAAAGGCTTTTCAATTGATGCTATTGCACTACAAAAAGAGTCAGTTGCTGCAGAAAACTTTCAAAATTAATTTATTGTTTGCAATGTGGTCAGCTTTTACTCAACACTGTACCTAATAGCTCATAAGCTTAATTTATTATTAATGCCCCTAAATAGAATACCTTTGAAGTGGAAGATCATATACATTTTAATTAAAATGATTAATTTTTCAACAACAATCATCAGCGCAACTAATTTTAGATCTGAACGCCAACAAAATGCTTATTTTTAGAATAAAATATTCGTAATTGAGGAAATTTCCAATGGTCATATGGTTGGGCAATGACGTCTACGGCTAAGTGACGGTTGCTGACTGGAATTATTTCTTTATTTTAATGATGGAATAAACAAATGTGAATCAACGTAAGCAGATGAGGCTACGCTACTAATCTGAAAGTAGCCGCAGCTGGGAAACTGATTTGAAAAACTAAATGATTTAAGATTATTTGTGCTTGTGTGCGGGGGGAAACAATACGACGAAACCATGAATGGGTTGATTTCTTTAGCAAATTATAAAGAAAAAGAGCTTACTAAAATAAGCTAATGGTAGAAAAAATATATATATGCAAATAAAACAATAGTTTTGCAGCAAAACTATGAACTTATACAGGTCGTCAAAAATCTTATTTTGTGTGTGTGCGTATGTGTTTTTTTCCCCAATTTCTGCATTCGCCGCGCTTTTGTTTATAAGGTAAATGTATATATATTTGCGTGCAACACTGAACCGTCTAACCGCACAACAACAACAACAACAAGTCGTTTGCAACCAAAAAACTGAAACAGCAACATTTGGCAAATAGCCAAGAAATGGATAGCCAATAGTAGTGGCCAGCGGCAAAGTATGAATCATCCGCCTTGGCACACGTAGCTACAATCAGAGCTACATACGAGTATTAAAAGAACTGAGGAGTAGCCGCCGACAAAATCGCACAAAAACAAGAAAAAATAATTAAAAAATACACAACGTAGAAACAGTGGCGGACTCAGGTAGGGGAAATTGGGAAAATTTTCACTGAATTTTCAAAATTTTGAATTATGTACTTAATTTTCAATTTTACTTTTTTTTTTGTATATTTTCGAATTTTCACAAATTGTCGAAAAATTATTATGTTCATGGTACTTGTGTGTAAAAAATATAAAATTCTTAGAATTCTAAAAGATATTAACATTTTTGAAAAATTCCAAAATATTTCCACTTTTCGGAACTTTTCCAAAATTTTGTATTGATATAACAAAGTTTGTTAATTTTAAATTTTTTGAATCTTCAAGAATCACGAAAATTTTTCAAACTTTCAAAAACGACGAAATATGAAAATATTTTCAACATTCGAAAACTTTTAATTTCGTTTGATCAATTTTGTATATTCGACACTTTTACTTAGAAAAAATTTGTTAGAATTCCTACAATTCTCAAAATTTTTGTAAAATAAAAAATTTCTAGAAATCTAGTATTCATCATTATATTATTTACTATTGTGATTTACAAAAATTTCTCAAATTCACAAAGTTTTGAAAGTTTTGGAATTCCATTCAAATTATTTAAAATGGGAAACTTCAAGAAATTCAAAACTATCAAAACTCTAAAAATTTTAAATTGCGGTGATTTTAAAATTTATATATGTGGAAAAATTTCCTCCCCGCCCAAGAATTGCTGCTGGGTCCGCCCCTGGTAGAAAGCGGTATGTACATGTGTAGTCGTATGCACAGCATCATTTATAGTCTCATAGCCATTAGTATATGTTCTAGCATTTTATTTTATTTTTTTTTAATTCTACTCTTTTTTTTTGCTGCGCGTCTTTCTGCGCATCAAACACACCAAAATCACAAGTGTGCTCGTTGTTGTGTATGTATATTTAGCCATTGTATGTTTGGTTGTATGTATGTATGTCCATTTAGCGGTAGTAAATATGTAATTTCGACGCCTTCATAAATGAGGTTTTTAAATTTATCAGCCACCTGTAAGTGAACGAACGCTTTGAAGGTGGATGCCAACGCTAGAGACACCACCAAGTGATTCCTTGCGCTTGCTTGCGTACGTCTCAAGGGAATTGGCAACACTTCACCCAGCACATCAGCGCTGACTCAACATTCAGTATTGGTTTTGGATTTTGTCTTTTTCGTTCTTGAGCTATTTTTAATCAATCAAAGTTTATGATAAAGGTGACATTTGGATGTCTCAATTTCTAGTGGTGATTTCCTTTGTTTAAGATTAAGCGGTATAAGAAAGTTATTTAAGTGACCTTAGCGAATGAATCTGGATATACATATAAATTCAAAGTTTGCTTTATTGTTGTACTTAGTACATAATTTATCCTTTTTCCCCCATTTTCCTTTTTCCCATTTTCCTTTGAAAAGCCGCTGGGCAGTTCATAGAACCCCGACTTCTAAGAAGACTTTGTCATCCAAAAACTTGGCTTCTCGAGAACAACCGGCTCTTTCAGAATGTTAGGAAATCAAAAAAAAAATGTTTCTTAAGATTACTTGCAGGGCAATTCTGGTTAAGATAAGCCAATTGAAAGACAGTAAGTAAGATAGTTTGAAAGATTTTCTTACAAATTAGCTCTCCTCCCAACCTTCATAGTGAAAAGCTTTTTTGGCTGAAAGCACTTGCTCCAGCAGTCGCAATGGCCGAGGGAGCAAAGCAATTAATTCAGTTTTTAGATTTTTTTGTTTTAAAAAGAAAAAGACAAAGTTTTTTCTCCATTTTACCCCAGTTAGTCTTAATAGATAGTTTCTAAGTTCCAGCTTTTAAGAAGCGCACAAAGTGCCCAACGTGCATCTTCCTTCGGAGGACGCCGCCGTAGTCGGGCCAGTTTCAGAAAACTTAACTAAAATTTCACCTTCCATAAGCTCTTAAGATGCGGTTAAGCTATGCTAACACTAGCAATACCGCCTTCATGAAATTTCTTTGATAACACCAAGATAATTTCTAGGATAACTAACCTATGCGGTTACTATTATGAGCGGTCTCCTGATAAAGCTCAACTATTGATAAAGCTCTTTTCCTCCGCCTGAATTGGCTCTAAGGTGGAAATTCCTAATATAGATTTCTCGACATTGTACGGAAAAACTCTGGAATTTAGAGAAAGGTTTTTTTCAAGAATAGCAGGATTTCTATAGGAAACTGGGAAGTACTCTCAACAACTCCAAAGCCTGGGAAATTTACATAAAGATTTCGTGGCGTTACCTGTCCTTCTGGTGCTCTCCAGCT